AATCATCTAGCCCTTTTTGTTGTGGATCCAGTTAGTTAGAGTATAAGGATTTAGCTATAAAGCTACTGATGAAGGATTTGTAGAGCTTGTTATTAGATCCTGAACTATATGAAACCAACGTGGACATCGGCCTCTAGATATCTTCTTAATATTGTGATGAAAATTATTCCACTCTAGAAGTTCAGTACTAGTTGCGTTTAAGAATTGTTTTACACTAAAGACATTGTGATTGTTTAGTTTCTCTTTGAGGTATGAAGCCCTAGAGTGGTTTAGAAGAATCTGGTTTATTGGGGTACCAATAAATTCTTTCAGAAGAGGCCAGTTGTCTCTATTGCATAAGGTTTGCAATTCAAGTGTATGCAAAGCCAATATCATTTGACAGGTTTGTGTATAGGTTTGTATCATTGGAAAGACTGGAAGTTGTGAAAGGATGGAGATGTGGTATTTGCAGCATCTTGTAGTTGTTAAAGTCGTAGCTTTATAAAGGATGAGTCAAAGCTGGAGTGGTTTAGGTTTTTTTGAAGTGTCAGAACCAATGATGAAAACTGGGCTTGAGCTAAATTGTTTAGTGCGTAGATGTCTGGGTTGAATAAGAAAGAGTTAGAAACTCCTCGAGCTAGTTTTGCTTTGTTTTTGACTAGTTGTATACAGATCTTGTTGAGGGTATTTGTTTGTGAGGCTGAAAAGAAAGAAGAATATAGTTGGTAAAGAAGGTGAGAAGTTATAACGCTATTAATTATATAGATTGCTTGTTTTCTGTTATGTGAGCGAATTGTAGTTTCTTTAGATTAATTACTGCCTCAGCCATAATTTCTTTTTGTACTAGTGTTGGCTTTCTATTTGTTGAAAACCATGCTTCTAGGTATTTAAAAGATGTTCTATTTGTGATTGCAGATAGTTGTTCATTGTCAAAGGTTATAGTTTTGTCCCAATCTGTCAAGTTTGTCACCAGGGTAGACTTTTGTGGGTTGATCTTTATGCTGGCGAATCTATAGAATGAGGAAGCGGTATTAAGAATTTTGGTAAGTGATTCCTTGTTTGGTGCAATTCATAGAGAGTCATCCATGTATGCCATTACTGAGGCATGGATTTTCTTTGGCCGATGTGAAGTTATTTCACTGTAAAATTCCTGGTGCTCTTTGTGTATTTTCGTTATTAGTGGATCGTAGTAGATTTTCCACAATAGGGTGAAGATTGTCTCTCCTTGATCTATACTGTCTTCTACTAAGTAGGGTGCGGTCAGGCCCTAGGCTTGTAATCACTTTGTTCTTCCGATTTTGGAGTAGATATGATAGTAGGTTTATAGCCTTCTTTGGGATACATATTCTTGCAAGGGCTTTGCATAGAGTGGGTATATGGATAGAGTCGAAAGCCTTTGACATGTCCTGTGAGAGGATCCAAATTTCTTTTTTATTTATGATTGCATCTTCTAGAATATGTGTGAGCTGTGAGATCGGTTGGAGTATAGACTGAAAAGGAAAGGCTGCATAGTTATAAGGAGAGAGCACTTGATTGCGAACTAGAATATTTGTAAATCAGTTTGTAAGGATCTTTGTAAAGATCTTTCTGATATGATCAATTAATGTAATAGGCTGGGTAGAGTTGAGTTCATAATTGTAGTATTGTTTCTTAGATATTGGTCATATATTAGCTATTAGCCACTGGTTTGGATTATTTCTTGAGCTAAGCAGCTGTTTAAAATGTTCAGAAGAGAGGATAGAGCCACTGAGGGTAGGTGTTGAAGAACTTCATTTGGAATCCCAAGGGGGCCTGTCACTTTCCCTTTAGATACTAGTTTTATAGTTTGTTTAAGTTCAGTTATAGTAATAGGAGTGAGAAGGTTGTCATAAATAGTTTCCTATATATTGTTTAGCGGAAGGTAGGTTGATTCCCATTCTTCTCAAAAGATGTTATTAGAGGGGTTGTTTTTGGTCCATGATTTGTAGTGTAAACACACTGCTTCTTTGATTTTGCCTTTGTTAGTGATTACCTTATCTGACAGAACAACTTTCTCAAAACTGATTAGTTCGACTCTTCTTTGTAGAATGCTATCTATCATATGACTAGTATTGTCTTTGAAGTCTGAATATCTACGGTTAATATAGTATTTAATTCGTTCACTTTGCTCCTGCCTTTTTTCATAATTGCATGCTTGCCAGATAATATGTTTATGCTGTTTAACTTGGCTGATGATGCTATTAAGAGAAGATGTAAGCTGTTTTTGTGTTATCAGTAAGATGTTAATATTTGCTAAGGTAGCTGCTTTAAGCAGGTGTTGGTTTGCCTTTGGCAAGTCAATTGCCAAGTTATTTGAGAGACAATTTAGGCACTTATTAATATTTTTCAGAGCTAAGTGTAGTTTGGTTGCTTTTAGTGATAAAGTATAGAAGGGCTTTGGAGCAGTGAAGGTATGTGGGATGTGTTTGTTTATTGCTTCCTTAACTTTTGCTACTCAAGAGTTCCAAGCTCTATTAGTGCTATCTTTGTCCATATTTGAGCTAAGAGTAGGTTGTTAGTTGAAGAGGCTATTTATTGATTCTTCGAAATTATCTCAGTCCACTGATGTCATTTTCTCATACAAATATATTTTCTGCTTTTTCTTTTTGTTTCTTGGACACTTTTGTGATAAGAAGTTTGTGTGCCATACTGTATGTAGGATGTAGTGATCGCTTTCTGAGATGTTTGAAGTGTTAATTAGCTAAGAGATATCAAAAGCCAAAAGTATATCTGAGAAAATCCAGAAGTCATCTATTTGGCTAGCTGTGGTTGAACCTTGCCAAGTTGGTGCTTGGATGCTGTGGAATGTTAGAAGGCTGGTCAGGTTAGCTGCATTTAGATTGGTGAAGATAGGAAGTCATTTGTCTCAAAGTTGATTAGCATTAAAATCTCCTAGAATTATGAGATGCCAGTTTTTAGCTCTGGCCTCTGTGGTTCAATTGAGTAGCTGAGACTGAGTTTGTTTCAAGAGAGAGGGGTGGTTTGACGGAAGGTAGGTTGAGATAATCCGAGACTTGTTGCTATTTGGAAAATAAAAATTAATGCAAATTGCTGTTCCAGAAAGGTATGAATTCTATAAATATATGGTTGCAGTTGGTTGCATATTATTAGGGCTGTTCCTAAGCTAGTTTCTCATTGGTTTGGCTTATAGGGCAAGAAGTTTGAGATAAATATTTTGTAAAATGGGTTGGTTAGCAATCTTGTTGCTGAGTCTTTTAGCTTTGTTTCAGTAAGAGAAATTATATGAAGATTTGTTTCTATGCAATATTCAACCCAAGTTTGTACTTTTAAAGGATCATTAAACCCTCTAATGTTGTGAGTAGCTAAGTTAATTTTTTTGTGTATATCAAGTTCTAGTTGTTTGGATAAGTTCCCGTTTTCTGCAGATGGCAGAGTTTCTGTAGAAGGATTTGTACTCATTGGTTATCTGTGCTAGAGTCTGGCTCTGCTTCGAACATTTGTGTATCTGTTATTGTTGCAGGTATTTCTTTTAGTTTTGCTGTTGTAGTTGTTTTTTGTTCTTCAAAAATATCGAAGGATGGTTCTGGTAGATCGATTAGATCGAAGATATATTCTGGTACTGTATGATATACAAAATGTTGTCGAAAAGTTTCCAGTACTAGTGGGATATTGTGATGTTTCTTTATAGGAACATTTATATTAATAATTTTTTTTTCTTGAAGAGCAGATTGGAGTTGTTCAACTGTTGACGGTAATTTGGTTAAATTTGATTCAGTTTCTGGTTACTTTTTTTTGATATTAATCCAGGATTGAGGTATAATATAGAAATAATAGTGTTTGTGTAGAGCTTTAGCTGTGATATTTAGTTCTTTAGGAGTTGAGATAGGTAATGTCAGATTGACAAGGTCAATTAGTTCAGCATCTTCAGGCAAGTCAGGGAGGTCTGTGTAGTTAAAGTTACAATATACTTGTGGCAGTAGTGTTGGGATATTATAAATAGGTGAGATACTTTTAACAAAAGTATTCACCTCTTCTTTGCTTTGCAAGAGAAATTTGAAGTTTGTCATTTTTAGTTGTATTGGGTCTAAAGGTAGACATCTATAAGAAATGATATAATTATTAGAAAGTCTTGTAAATGAATAATTTACTCGCAGGAGTCTAACATGTTCCTTGAAGTCTTCTTGGCTTCTGGGCAAGAAGGGAAATTTTTCTCTTAATCTCGGTGTTAGTTCTTATGGAGTACAAGGTAATAGTTGTTTTGGAGCAGGTAAGTCGAAGTATTCTATTGGGATTTGTCAAAAGAAGTAATATTTCTGAAGTGACTCTCTATATTGGCCTAAGTTTTGTAGGTCTGCTCTGCTTGTGATAGGAAAGAAGTCATGTACTTCATCTCTTAATTGCTTGTAGGATGCAGGCAGAGGTTCCCTGGTATCTGAGATGTATGTATCAGGTAATGATGCTGCCCGAAACTAATTTGGGTTACTAACCGAAACCGAAACTAGTTTTATGTATCCGAAACTAATTTTCAAAACTCTAAACTTTGTTAAAATTCCAAAACTATATAAAATTCCGAAACTATATAAAAAGTTCTGAAACTATAATAAACTTCTAAACTATATCAAAATTCTGAAACTATATTAAAAACCCGAAACTATACTAAATTCTGGAACTATACTAAAGAATTGAGAACACCCTTAGGTGGCATCCACAATTTACATTAAACTTGTATTATCTTTAAGATCCCTATAAACAATACAAATTCAATGATTTCTATATCCGGTTTACTGTACTTACTGACTATGATTACGCCTTAATAATCAAATATAAAAATCTATATATGATAAGCTAACATATTATTTTTATTCATCCAGTTTATGTATGCGTTTCTAAACAGTGCTTGAACGGGTTTCAAAGTTGGAATTCGATTTCGACGACGTATAACATATATATTAAACAACTACTGCTTATTTTATTTAATAATATATATATTTATATACATACTATAACAAATATATTGATACGTATACTAACTATTCAAAATCCTAATCATGAATCAACTCTTCTAAATTAAATTCATGATCGTCATTCATAGCAATATCTGAATTATTATTTTCTTCGTTAGAAGTATATTGATTATCTGCTTGATTAAACATTCGGTGATTCAAATCTACAATATCGTTAACAACTAAAACCACCACTTGATGATTAGGAATCACTAAATCATCATCTTCATCTGATTCACTATTTTCATTATTTTCATTTTCAATTTCTTCACTATAATTCTCATCATCAAACAGATATGATCCTTGGATCATCACTACCAATTCATCTTCAGTTTTGTTTTTTGCACTGTATGATAACTCTTTATATGCATTAAATAAATTGTGATGTCGAATTTTAGTTAGTGATTCTAAATTTTTTAAACTTAAACGCTGTCTTTTTTTCCCATAAAACCAACCCAGAATAGAGAAAATTCGTTCACACGATGCGCTATGAGGAGTTATTGCAAAAATTTTTTTAGCTAAAATTTTAAGATTATCAAACTTATCTTTAACAAAGCTCCACCACATAAAAGGAGTCATTAGTTGACTATCATATCCGATTTTGTACGGAAATTGTTTTTCTCTAAATTTGATAATTTGGGAAATTAGAGTTTGTGCAGATAATTTATCTTTGTATCCCATTGATTGCCATAATGTTCCAGCATAAAGGGCAGTTTGTGTCCATACTCCTTTTCTTAAACCGGCACCTATAAAAATTTTTTATTATTAATAATTATATTTTTGTACTATAAAATATATAATACTTAAAAAATCTATTTAGATTACAATACCTCGATATTCAGGGTGAAGTATATATGCTAAAATATATGGCTCAGCTTCAAGTTCGTTCCAACGGTTATTGACAATTTCTATACATCGATTTTTAAAAGTAATTGTATCTCTTTCTCTTGGAATATGATAAATTGTTGAAATTAAACGAACTAGTTGAATAAAGCAGTCTGCCATTGTGCAATTTGCTTTTTCTAACTGCAAAATTGCAGTTCTAATTGGGGCAAAAATTTTGGATATCTGTTCTACATTGTGAAAAAATCCTCGAAACTTTAAAATTCTTTGTACATCTTGATTAGTAATAATATCGGGATGATCATTTAATATCTTAAAAATCATTAATTATATGATATATTAATACTAATATAGTAAACCAAATTTCAAGTATATAATTAATAATAATTACCTTTTCTAATACAGGTTTTAGTCTAAAAACAGAATCTACAGTTTCATAAGCCGATGTCCATCTAGTTTCAATAAAAAGTTTTAATCCACCGTGAATATTAAATTCTTCAATATATTTTTTTAAATAACTTTTAGCTAAATGACTAGCTTTAAAAAAGCGACATATCTTATTACAATACTTTAAAATACGTGCAGGTAATCCACATTTTAAAATATCCTGACTAATTAGATTAACAAAATGAACAATACAACGAAGATTAAAAATAAAGGGATATTTCTGATTAATCTGTCTACGTGCAGCAGAAATAGCTGAAGCATTATCAGAAATTATTCCAATAAATTTTTCAGGTCCAATTTTAATTAAAATTTTTTCAATTTCATCAAAAAGTAAATCAGCCGTATGGCTAACATGAGATAAATCACGAAGGGCATATAAAAATTCTTTATGATCGGAAGTCATTATCATAAAATTATAAATTGAAGCGCCTTGGGGATTTGTCCAACCATCCAATCCTAAATTAAAATAAAATTAATAAAATTGCATAAATTAAAATTTAATGCAGTAATAACATTAAAATTAATTTACCAAGTATTAAATTATTTGCAGTTTTTAAGTATTCTTCAGTTTCCCAATTAACTTTAATAACTTCTTCATTTAATAAAGTGTTGGCAAGATATTCACGGGTAGGTGGTGTATATGAAGATCGCAGAGATTTAAGTATATCGATAAATCATGGATTCTCAATTATGGAAAATGGAAGCCCACACATAGCAAAAGCCTTAATAATTGCACGATCAACTGCCTCTTTTTTAGAACCAGCCAAAATTTGATTTTCATTTTCCCAATAATCATTAATATTTATTTTCTGTTTTTTAGATTGTTTTGAACCAGATGCTTGGGTTTTTTCTTTTAATTTTTGTCTTTGAATTACAATTTCTTGATATTTTTCTCTTATCTCATTATCAAGATTTTCATCTTTACATTCTTTTGCAAGATGTATCTCAAGCTGATTAGGACGTCCACGATTAAATTGTGTAGAACAATATTTACATTTGGCAGCAAAATGACCAGGCGATTTCAATAGAGTTGCAAAAAAATGATCCCAAACAGGGTCTGGTGGTCTTCCTCCAGGATGTTTTGGACGTGCATCTTTCTCAGCTTCTTCAGACGAATATTGGGAAGCCATTGAAGGTGAGTCATAAGTTACTGAAGTTGAATCACGTGAAGACATTGAAGAAATTATGCAAATCGTGAAAGATGGCTTATGCCAAAATAAATAGATTTTTAAAAATAAAAAAAAAATAAATCGCCAATGAATAAATAACCATTTTAGCATAAGCGAAAACTAAGCTGGTGTGAGAAAATTATGCGAAGCCATTAATGCAAAGAAAAAAAATTATATTTGGCAAAAACGCCAATAAATGAATATTTCATAAATATTCATGATATATATCAATAAATAATTTCAAGATGTTAATTTGATTATAACATATCCATTCTTATGTTTAATTCAAATTAAGAAGCCGATTATTGTTTTTGCCCCAAAATCTTAAAACATTACAACTATTTTTTTATCGTTATAATAAAATTATTCTAATCATTTGCTAAACTTGTTAAGTTTTTGACTTCAGTATGATTACGCTATATCAAGTAAGTCTTTTATTAGATCGATCAGTTATCTGAAGAAAAAAAGCGATAATTTTTTATTTTTACTTTGCAATTTGACTTATCGATTACTAATAATTAACATCGTATGATCTATCTTATAGATCACGTGCAGCACATTTGCTACAAGACTATTCAGATTAAATTACATATAAAATAGTTACATGCGACTGGTCGTATGTATATTGTAAAATTCATGACTAAAATGGTAAGCTATAAACGTAATACAAAATATGATTTCAATAGAGGGCGTAAAGACATTTTTGGATTAAATTTAAATGCTGCAAAAAAGTAATGCATAACCGGTATATTTTAGAATTTAGAAGCTACGCACCATAACGATAAGTTTTTATTTAAAAGAAGACATCACAAGGTAATCACCCCGCAATTTATGATTATAAAATATGCATGCGATGTAAATTTTTGTGTAAATAAGTTGTTGAAAATTACTAATATTCTAGAGATGCTATGATATTTTTGGGACAAGGACTTTTTTTTAAATAATGGTTATATATGTCTAAATGTTCTTCGTAGTTGGTTACAAAATGAAAAAAATAGTTATGGAAAGTGAAATACGTAATTCGTATATATACACGTATTTTATACATAAAAAATTCTTTAATAAATACCGTAAAAGTTCATATACAAGATCCCCCATATATCAGACCCACCCCCATTTTTTACTAATTAATTTCTTTTTTTTATTAATTAATTTTTTTGCTGGAATGTAAGAGACCCGGGTCTTGTATATGATCTTTTACGGTAATTCAAATATGGTATCAAAATTGATAAATTTAGAAACCGACCCCTGAAACCTATCACATCATCTTTGATTTTTTATCAGGTATATTTAATGCGGGCTTTTTTAAATAACAACTCCTTATGACCTCATACTTACTCAACCATCCGTTAATCCTTTATCAATACATCATACATATCTCTCTCTTAAATACATCACCCCTTGTCATCAACTTAAAACTTACGATTACCCTGCATCATGGGCCCTTAAAACCAGGATTTTAGTTAAATCGATCTTCATTGGCCCATATGAGTCCTTAGATATATAAAAAACTGGTTTTTATATATATAAAACTGATCGGGTCACTTGTAAGCGTATTTAAATAGCTGCTCGATACGTAAGTATCGAGGCAGCTTTTGTCTCGAATCATGTGCCATCCGATCGAGCATATGACATATGACAGACCAGGTTATGATCACATGTTCGATCGATCAGTTGACTGATGGAACGTAACGGTAAGTATGAGGTAATCAGGTAATTAATTATGAGGTAATTGGATCGTCGTTCTGGTTATATCGATCCCTCCCACCCTACCCGCGTTAGAGCGACGCATAATTTTTGTGGCCTGCCGGGACGGCAGTCATAAATAAGAGTAGGTAGTGGGATCCGTTAGGATTGTATGCTGAAAAACGTTAATTGTGGCCTGTTGAGACGACAGTCACAAAATAATGATAATTTATGGCCCTTTGGAACGATACAAAAGAAAATGAAAAATGAGAAAGAAAGAGCATGTTGCACGATTTTATAAACATCTGCGTAGGTTGCTCGATAGCAGAAGGGAAATATCCGTATGTTTCTACATCGTAATAGTTTATCCCAAAATGGGAGACAAAACAAATAATAAAATATATAACCCACTTCTGGAGTGTTCCGGAGTGGGTTATATGTTTTATTATTACAGCTGTTTTCATAAATTCTGGGACATCCGAATATTTGCCGATTCGATAAGTTTGTGATTTCGGCGATGGTCACTGCCGAATCAAAACTTATCGAATCGGCAAATATTCGGTCGGTCAATTTTTTGCCAGATGTCCCAGAATTTATGAAAACAGCTGGGATCACCAACATTCCGGGTCGGAATGCATCAGAATGCTGGCTGGATATGCCGGAATTGATTAATTTTGTCCAAAAATTTTACCAATGAAGAAATGCCCGGCTGATAATTTTGCTATAGACTGTTGGCTAACAGCTGTTATCATTATTCCTGGGACACCTTATGAAAAACTAACATAATAATTATTCAGCCGATTCGATAAGTTATTGATTTCGGCATGATCAGTATAATGTTTATTATTTACGGAGATAGTCTAAAGCCAGGTATGTGCGTATGTGCGTATGTACGTGGGTTTTAAATTGGTTACTAATCGATTTGTAAATTGAAACTCACGTAACTTTAAACGACCTCTATTTACAATGCAACAGTGACAATTATTAATCGATAACCAATATCAATATAACGAAAAAACTTATCGAATCGGCTGAGTTAATTTTTCATAAGGTGTTCCAGGAATAATGATAACAGCTGTAATGCGGCCCGGAATTTGGTGATCATCTTCCTGTAAAAATAGAGGTCGATGCATAAAATTAATTAAAAGTCTAATATGCACTAGAGGTGCGGGCGAATCGTCCCAATGATTGGCTTTAGGAAAATACTATCTTGATAGTACACTGAGTGCTTGCTTATTAGGTGGATGTACCTAATAGCCAAGGAAATAAACGCCAATAAAAGTCAAATTGCACGCGTGGAGTTAGAAAACTTTCGTATTCCAGATCGACCGCATATTCCAATACTGGATAACTTAACCTTATTTGAGATGATAACAATATAAAACCCGCAACGAGTACGACGAAGAGAGAATACATTAACTGCACCATCGTCTCCAAGTTTATGTTTGTGGCCCTGCGCTAAATTAGTGTCGAGTCAAAGTTTCTCCCAGGTCACAACACTGTTTACATGTTTGTATTTTACTATCGTATTATTTTTTTTTCATGCCTATTGTCCGGATCTCAGATTCAGTTTTTTTTTTATTTTTCGATAATATCGAATCGAACTCCACCCTCGAAAATTTAAAAAAAACTAGTCATCCATAATTCTCACCGTCACGATTATTCAACCGGTTCACCCGATTTGGGTTCATCAACCCTATTTTTATTTTAATTGATTTTTTTTATAAAGTAACGTCATGCAAATACGTACGTACGTACGTAGAATTATACCTCGAATATTTGTTAATAAAAAAAATTTTTTTTTATTAATTATATAATATAAATTTTATTAGGATTTATCATTATCAATTTCTTAAACAATAAGCCATTTACTTTTTCAACGGTTTCTACCGCCTTTGAGTAACATCCTAATTGTTAAAAGTTCTTTAGAAGTTTCTTAAATTCGTTTTCACATTTGAACTAAGACTTGAAAATCTTATGAAGATTTCCGAGTTTTCATTTGATGAAACTTATTTACCAACTAAACGTAACAATTTTTGTTACACTTACGTACAGGCGTGATGTATCTCATGTTCATTTTTTCTATTTTTGTATATATTCTCCCATTGTTTTACAATATATTGCAACAGAGAAGACTGATAATCCGTAGTATCAATTTTTAAAAGCATTGCTATCACTTTCAGATTATACGGGTGATCCGGTTCGGAACTCTAGAAATTACTAATACTCGTAGATGATCATTATGGATATCAACTTTTTTTTTCATCTTTTTTTAATTTCAATTGTAGGAAGAATTTCATGTTTGTTATCGGCATACCTAAAGTGTCTCATACACACTATAATTTGTTGAGAAAACGGTGTGAATGTGATTATAGCATAATCAGGTGGTCAATGATCAAATGGAGGGATGAGAGAAAAAGGAAAATAATTTAATGAAGCTTTGTACAGTCAAATATCTATAAACGAACACACTTTCATATCTCAATTCACTATTAACGTTAAATGTAACGTTAATGTACATCCGGTAGAAAATTTTTTCAAGTCATGGTCCTTAGCACGTAGGACAGTGTATACATAGTATGGAACAGTCTCAACATTGGTCCTTAAGGAGCAATTAGAAAGGTTTGACTCTGTATGGTTTGGTTTAAAGGCTTATATTGTAATACGTATGTACGTGCATCCTCTGAATTATGATTTGATGACAACTATATTGAGGAATATTAGCTGCAGTTAATCTTCACAAAGAACAATATTAGTGTTGGCATTCGGATTATATGATTATATCCATATTTTTTGAATATGTCCAATTAAAAAAAAAAAAATTTAAAAATCACCATAACGATAACCCATATTATTTTCAATTAGCCCAAATGCCAACACTGTTATCACTATTTAGCACATTGAAAAGACTTGACGTAAATATTTGCAGAAGTTATATAGCAAATTTATTAAATGAATGCAAATCCTTTGCAATCGGATTATATCATCCTTGAAATTCTTGCAATACCCTCTATGTTGAAATTTCATTAACTTCATTAAACGATATATCAATATAGCTGAGAATATACAAAGAATATGAACCTCTAAAGCAGCTACAACATGTCTTTCTTCTATTTTTTTTTCATTCAGATCTTGATTTGCTTCAATATTAGCTTCTTCGGCTAGGCGTTGAAGAAATAAAACGTAATCTAGATAAATCTATATATTTGGAAAAGTAAATATTTAAAAATATATATTAAACGCGTAATATTATAATATATTGACTAACCATAACGTCTACATTCTTGGTCAATGCTTTGTTATGGTGAGATTTGATTATTCTTTTAAGTGTTGCACGAGGAAATAATTGTGTCATCCTTCTAAGGACATAAAAGAAATTATTGTGATTATTGTCAAATTTTCTTTTTTTTACGTGTTGTTTGAATCTGTGTTACCTAATAGATCGACCAATGACATGTGTTTGCATTAATGTGGGCAGATTGATTTTCAAACTTTAATTCTGGTCGGATGTGAATTCTCATATAAGAATTTATTTATCTGATATATTGATATATCACATATCGATATGTACGTAATTATCGTTAAATCGGTGGCTATATAAGGCTTCATTGAATCTGAATTGGGAATATTGAATTTTATATAAATTCGATTTTTTAGGAGGTTAAAGCTGCGTAATCGCGTGAACTACGAATACGTTGAGCCAACCTCCTTTGACTTAACAAATGGTTCTAAACATTTAATTCAGAGGCTAAAAAATTTAATTGGATTAATTGGACTAATCGGATGAGTTGCAGCTTTCCCGCTTTCATGCTTGTCGATCTATTCACTCCCTTTTTTCTCTGGCAGAATTTTCACGTGATTACTAAGCTTATTAAACCTTACAACAATTTCCAACAGTTTCCGATTGACGTTGATACCTGTAATACTTTTCTTTTTAGAGAAGAGATCTACAAGAAGGGGATAAGTTAATTACAAATAAAATCCTTTAACCATCAAATTTCGTGACAATTTTGTGTATCATAAGTTTTAAATGAGGTTTTCTTATATCACTGTGCAAGAAGGTGAGTACGTTCTCATGCCAAGTATAAGACTTCTGACACAATCGTGAAACTGTCCATCAATAAATATAAACATATTGTGCATATTCTTTGTTAGATGAGATCATAGATTTATTATCGTATAACCATTTATATTCAATTTTATCACCTGACTATTTTACCTATACCACTACTTCACACTGGAGGCGAGTTACCCTGATATTTATTATATAAACAATGGGTTACATTGCCTTCTAAGCCACCAAAACTGTGCGAGATCTGTATAAAAACATCTGTTCGATATTAACTTTTTTTTTGTTACTTAAAAAAAAACCGTTAAAATGACATCACACACAGAGAAGAGTACCGCAGAAGAAGACTCTGATATTATTGAGTTCTTAAACCGTAAGTTGGCAAATCTTTCAGTGGCATCTGATGCAGCAGAAGTATTAGGGAAAAACGATGACGGCTTGCCAGTTTGTGAAGTATCAATGCTGGTTTGTTGTAGAATATATTTTTTCTAAAAATATAATAAATTAAAAAAGTCGTTTATTTCATTATCTTGTATCTTATCAACACTTTTTGAACTTTTCAATTTATTTAGTTACCTCAATATGCGCAAGCTGTTTATAATGCACTTCGTTCTCCAGTGCGACAGTTACGACTTGCTGCAGTTGTAAGATTACGAAAATATCTATCTTTGCGTGTGTATTATTTATTATTTGTTGTTAATGTTGTTAATTAATAATTTATGACTTTGTTTTTTGACTATTGCTAACTGTTTCGTTATAATGTTCTCTAAATATGTAGAAAATGTTGATGAAAGAGTTGATAATGTCTTGGCGTTGGAAATAATACCATTATTGATAGAATTTCTCGAATGTTATCACGATAATTTATTACAAGTAAGTATAATTCATATTTATTAAGAATCTATTTATCTTTTTGTTAGACGACTAAAAAATATTTTCCCTTTGCTTGATGGATTTTCAGTATGAAACTGCCTGGATAATTACTAATATAGCCGTAAGCATTTATTTATTTATTCAATTCGGATAATATTTGTTAATATCCATTGGCTTTGAACAATTTTGATTTATTATCTTTCTAACATTGACTTTTCAGGCTGGTTCTACGCAGCATACACAAGCCTTAGTCGCTGGTGATGTAACGCAACACCTTATCAAAGTTCTTACCACGTCAACGAATATCGAAGTTCAGACGCAGGTAAGAAACTATTTATTTACACATTTATTTACTTATTTTATTTATTGATTTCCCTATTAGCGTTAATTTTCAATTTCAAACAAATATGTCATCTTAAATGGTTGTACTGGTAATAACAGATTATATGGGCATTAGGCAATATTGCCGGTGATGGTGCCGTTTTCAGAGACATTATATTATCGGCTGGAGTGATCGAACCTTTACTCTATATTTTAACACATTACGATAAATACGACTACATGGCCGTTAGGATAACAGTCTGGGCAACCGCAAATATGTGTCGTGGATGTCGCTGTTCGGATCCTTCATGGTCTTTGGTAAGCAGTATAGTATATACTTGGTTAAATCTTTATAATATTGGTGAATTTTTCTTAACTTTTTAATTATAATATTTTATTAATATTAAATTAGATTACTCCTGCTTTTCCAATTTTGGGTAACATGGTACAATTGAACGATATCGAAATTATATCTGATGCTTGGTGTGTTTCTTGAAAGAATCCTGTGTGAAATGTTGGTGTGGCAGATTTGGTAATAATACGAAGTTAATCTCTGTTCCACTCTGTTATTAGTTGGGGCATGTCGAGAATTTTGAATGGAACGCATAAGCATAGAGAGCATGCTTTAGTTAGTGACAGCACACTATGTCATCGATTAGTGCAACTTCTGAGGTTAAAATTCTTTCCGTATTATACGAGCTTTATATATATATATATATATTATATATATATTTATATCTTTGAAGGAAATTTTACACATTTTTTTTTTCCTTTGGCAGTGAGGAGAGTCTTACGTCTACTGTACATTTACCTGTATTGCGAACTTTAGTTAATATAGCGTCCGGAGCAGGTTTGTATTTATAATTATATTATATATATATATATATTTTTGTTATAAATTTAAACTGAAAATTATTATTATAGAGAAACAAACGCAGTCAGTTATCGATGCTGGTGCATTGACCATTTTGACATCATCATTTTTGACAACGAAAAACTTGACACTACGTCGTGATGCATGTCTAGCGGTTTCCAATGTGGCTGCTGGTACATATAAACAGGTACTTGAATAGTTTTAAAATTTTGACGATTTTCATTTTCAATCTATTTGACTAATTATATTTCATTTATTCAGGTAAATGCTGTCCTTACAGAACCTAATCTAATAGAGAGTATTGTCGCTTTACTTTGGGATAGCGACATGAAAGTGGTTAAAGAAGCTTGTTGGGTTCTTAGTAACTCTACTAGTTTACATAATCCTGGCCATATTCAGTTCGTATAGATTTTTTATACTTATATATAATTTTAAATTACTACTATAATTATTTCCTATAATTATCATTAATTACCATAATTAACTTATTTAAATGATTTAGAATCATCCTTCAACATGATATTATATCACCTACTCTCCATCATTTACGCAATCCAGGAACTCCGCATGAAATCTTGAATAAACTTATCGATACATTAGTTAATATCCTCTCAGTTGGTGATTTGTCAGGTCCAAATTCATCACAGATATTGGCTAATGAATACGCTGACAAATTAGCATCTGCAGGAATAGTAGAAGCATTGATTATGACATGGAATAATTCTTCAGTAAACGAAATTGTAAAAGAGAAAGTACGTGCATTATTAGAACGGTGGTTTTGTGGATATTTACCACGAAATAATCAAAGTAGTGGTGAAATTGAAGAAGATATTGCGTCAATTGAAGAACGTGTTTCAAGATTGACCATCATGGGTGGTGTTTTTTAGAAAATATTTGATCGCTAGTCATGCTAATTTAACAAATTTGATTTATCATTGTTATTACTCGATCTTGATTAGCTATTAAAATTATGTAAACAACTAGTACATTATCATATAGACGGATTCTATAGAAAACTTTCTCGTGATTGGTTAATTTTATACAATTGGACTTATACATTTTAGACTACTTTTACAACGCAAAGCAGTAAATTAAAAGGTATCATAATAGGATGATCTTTGGATATATTAGATATATATATTTAAACAACTTTTAGATATTCTCGGATATTTGGAATTACTATTAAAAATGTAAATAGTTTTTAACAGTAAATATCTTTTGATTCGATTCGTTTTCGGTTAATCATTACCAAAATAATTATCGTTACGTATAAAATTGATTTCAACAAATAGTGTAAAATGTTTAAGTATATACGTAGTACGTATGATTTTAATGATTTTAATGATTTTAATTTGTTGAACTATTTTATAAAGGTATATATATAGTTATTTTGATAATAAAATTATATGTATTTATATATTAACAATTATTTATATCTTTTAATTGGTTTTACGTACTAAATTATACCAGAACTAGCTAACTAATCAATGCTAGATGTTTTAAGTAAAAATATTTAATATTTCAAAAACTTTTAGAACTTTTAATATGTTATATTAATGTCGCTGGTATAATTTAGTATAATTGTATATACAGTATAATAAAAGTTTATACGTAATTAATTTTAACCGGAGGTGATTTCACCTAGGTGATATTATTCATGATTTATTAAATTATTTAATCGTATAATTTATCTAATTTATTTATTTTCTTTTATATCTATTTATATATATAGTTACATTTTATTTTATATCATACTTTTATTCAACATTTAACTACCAAACTTTTATACCATTTATTTATTATAAAACCCTAAATTAAAACGTCGAATATTATTTCAATACCTACAATTATGATTAAATCAATATTTTTCAATTTAAAATCTATAAACAGAATATTATAAATGCTTTTTCACCAGCTCATTTTATATCTTATTTTAATATCTACGAATTTAATGTTGACGAACTTAAAGTTGCAAATACCTTTTGATTTTAACAACTATAACTTAATATTGCAAATGCTTCGTTATCTTATCCAGGTACCTATAAATATTATCATGGTGCAAATGCCTTGTTGTTACCTTATTTTGGCATTTATGCCAATGTTTACCACATTAGTAATACATTTGTTGAATTGATGTTAAGATTCAACCGGAAGATATATATAGATAACTATCAAAAATTATGATATCTAAGAAGGTAGTAATGAAAAATATAATAATAATAATAATAATCTATTAGTATTAAGTGGAAAAAAACATAGTGAAATTACGTGAAATTATATGAACTTATGTTTTTGATAGTGGGAATAATTACTTTTTGTGCAATAGTATTTAATCTTCTAACAAGAATAAAAACTTTTATAAATGCTTAAGTTGAATTTAAAATTAAATTTGATCAAGACCATGTAAAATAAATAGGTTTTGTTATTATTTTAAATTAATTTTTAGTTTTTTATGCTTTTAAGTTTACCAAAAATTTGATATATCACTTTATATTAAATATTATAAAATATTTAATTAAATTTTTTGATTCTAAAGTTTGAAATCTTCAATATTATTTGATTTTCAACTCTTTCTGACAATCACTTGAACCAAGATCGCACCAAAACAGTTTGAAGATTCAAGGCTCTAAAAAAGTTCAAAGATACTTGAGGTTCTTTATTGGTACTATTGTTAATGAAGACTTATATATGAAACACCGAAAAGTGGGTGTACATAGTTGGTTTGTGCTTTGGGTCAAGCTTTTTTTCTTGATAAACTCTCTCGCATGTTCAGCATCCAAGCAAAAAGGTTATTTTGGTAACAGTAGTGGTGAAAACTCCTAACTCAAGTATCTGAAGCTTTTTAATTTTATGAAGAACAACTGAAAACACTTTTATTGTTTTGAGCTTTTGTAAATACAGTATTTTTTTTTCTTTGATATTTTTGGTCAAAACTTTTGACAAAAAGTGGGAAATTTGGCATACTTCCTCCAAAAGATTGGTAATGTTTACCACTTCTATATTGAAAAACTCTGCATGATAACAAACAACATATGTAAAATAGACAGTGTTGACAAATTTAGTAACTAGATGAGTATTCAGAAAAATACTTTATATGTTATGTTGTTAAGGATATACAAACATGTAATCATTAGATAGAGCATGTGGAGATTTCAAAATTCTTATACTTTCAGATAAAGATATAGATTTAATTGAAAGAATAAAGCAAAATAAAAAAAGATATACAGGCATCTTCTAGTTATATCTATATAATTTTTAACCTTTGACATAAGGAGGTTAAGTGTTGTTAGGCAGATTGTATCTGGGCAAAACATAGTTGTTTAATGGTTTACCCTGACTGCAAGTAAATGTTACGGCATCTGCGAGGTACACCGTGGGTGAGTTTACATTTTGATTGGAATACTTATAGATTTAGATTTTTTATGCCTATAAAAATGAAAGACTGTTTTCATAATAAAGTAAACAGGATTGTTAAAAGAAAAAAAATAAAGTTTGAAATCTTTATTTATTAATAGATTTAATAATATTGTTATAAAATAAGTTTTTTTTGTTTTTTTTTATTAGTTTTATTATTTTTTAAATCAACAATCCTATCTTTATTATTTAGTACTTAGAATATATAATGAATTATACTAAATTTATTTATATTGAACACTTATTAAAAAAAGTTTATTTAGCATATATTTAGATATGATTCACCTTAATAGAGTTTTGTTTTACTTCAAATCCTTAATTTATTAAGAATTTAATCTTTTTAGTTATTAGCTGGTGTTTATAAACCTAGCTATATTCAAATAGCTATATTTAGTTTTAGTTTAACTAATTAAATTAATTAGTTTAAAACTAAATTAGGTTGATCTTTAGTATAAGTAAGTATATATAATTATTATATAATTATAATATATTAACTTAATAAGCAAATCGCAAGTTATCTAAACAAATATTTTTTTTTAATATATAAATTTTACTATAAGGCTAAATGTGCAGCACTTCTATCTAAAACTTTTTTTACTAAGTAAATCACTCTTGAGTTTGTAACAAAAGTTGTAAAGCTTATTAAAATGCATTTAATAATGAAAAAATATTAAAATTGGTCCAGTAGTTCTTGAGAAATCTTTAAAAAACTTCTTTTTCACATAGTTCTTGCTAGCTCTATTCTATGTTTTGTCAAAACTAATATTGGTGCCTATAGATCATCAATCATTTTTTTTGTAAATATGGAAACTTGCAGCATATAGTATAGTTTTGAAATTATACATATATTGTTTATACTGTATATAATACTTATACTATTGTTAATTTCTTTAGATTTAGTGTTCGAACCATTGAGCATACAATCTTTTTTGCTCTTGCTTTAACTAGTGACTTATCTAGCTTGTTGTTAAGTCAAACTCCTAAAAATCTTGTAATCTTGTTTCTTTCTTCTTCTATTAGCCATTCACTACCAAAAAAGATTTTTTTATCTTCTTCTTTTTTCAGAATTGATGACAATTAGTTTAGATTTTTTTTTATTAATTTGTATATTATTGAACTTAAAGAACTCTTTAACAATTTGAATTATTTTCTTCATTTGGTCTTTACTTTCTGCAATTCAAGTTGTATCGTCAGCATAGACAATAACTGCCTATGTCTATTCTTTTTGTATTGTTTAGTTCAGGCTGTAGTTAAAAGGAGTTTGTTGGGTTATAATACTATATAAAGTGAAGATAGTCAGTATACTAACTAGTGTACTGCTCAATTTGCTACTCTTATAAAGTCAATAAATTTTTAGATAATCTTAGGCAAGATAAAAAACTATCTAAGAACACAGATATTAATAACTCTATCCTAACTCCAAGACATGTATATACTATCAATGCTTTTATTCTTTATGAAATTATACAATTTTAAAAGAAACCTCATTAAATATTAGACCTCTCTTAGAAGATAAAAGAAAAAGATTCATACAACTTTTAAAAGAATTTACAGACTTATTCATATCAGATATTAATAAACTAGAATGAATTAACTTAGTTATTTATAGAATTTATATAAAAGATGTACTTTCTATAGTGCAGGACAGCTTAAGATATCAAATTTTATTTTACTATTAAAAAGGCGCCAAATTTGGATAAGGACACTATAAAACATCAACTTTTTATTAAAATGTGTCAAATTTAAACAATATAATACAAAAATAATGGATTTTTATTGGCTTATACATGTAGATTAGTGCCAAATTTTAGATTTATATATAAAATATCAAAGTTTAAACTATTATAATATTGTTAAAAATAAAAATAAAAATAAAATCTTTTTTTAAAAATGTAGTTTGGATTACAAACTATCAATTTGAAAGAGGTTTTTTTTTTTTATAATTTGGCAATCCTGCCTCTGTTTATTTGAGATTAAGCTATTCAAGAATTATACATTTTTATCTGTAGCTATTGCTAATCTAACCAAACTAGAGACTCACCCTTGGCTTACACCCAGGTGCGACCTGCCTCAGTAGTCCTTGGCCTCCCTCCGGATCCTTAACTCACTAAGGATTTGATCCTTTCAGTCACAGGCTGGCGACTACCCACCTTGTCAGTACTGCTATTTAAATCTGTTTTAACTTTACATCTTACCCATGAAGACCAATCTGGTTTTTTACCATCTTACACTAGGTTTTCTATGTTTTTGAATGCTACTGCTCTTGCACCTTCTTTCTTCTTGTTTTTCTGTTTTCCTGTTTGTACTTGATTTTCTTTATTTTCCTCGTCTTCTTTTTCTTTTTCTTCTTTTTCTTGTTGGCCTTTTTTGTCTTCTTATTCTTCTTTGAGATTCCTTCTCTTTTTTCCCATTCTATTTGTAGTTCACATCTAAAGTTCCAGATATGCTGATGGAATCTCTCACCCAATTTATT